AAGTAGTAAGCAACCTCATTCTTAAACTTACATCATTTTTCAAAGTCTTGACAAAGCAATCAAGTGTGCTTTTGTATGCAGAATCCCCCATCATCCTCGATTTGACCTGCCAGAAAAAACCAAACCCGAGTTAGTTAGCAAATCTTTTTCAAAATTGCATACAAAAAAAATATAAAACAAAATTCAGATATTGGTGTTATAATAAGTTACCACATCGACGGGAGAGCCTATACAGACAGCAAAGAAACCAGCTCCTAAACCAGCTAAGAGATGGGTGAAAACATTGTCTGAGAAACCAGGAATTTTCAGGATCGTCTGTAGAAATAAAAAATAAATAAATAAAGAAAAATTGATGCAGAGGAAGAAAACAAAGAGGTTCAGTGGTCCACATAAGATGGAAAACAACCAGAAAACACATGAGGTGCTTATACGGTTTTGCTATGAAGCCAACAATTGGCTCCATAGTTGAGTCAACCTTCTATATACAACAAATAAACCTACCATATTCTCTTATTACTTAATTATCACTAATATAATTTTATTAATATGATAGGTTTATTTGTTGTATATAGAAAGTTGGCTCCACTATAGAACCAACTGTTGGCTTCATAGCAAAACCGAGTGCTAATATACCTGCTTCACTTGATCATAACTGGCTAGTTCAGCAGCATTTATAATTGCATTGCGTGCGATATTAGGTCCTAGTCCAGTCCACAAAGCTCTAACTCCTTCCTACATTATTAAAACCAAATTAAGATGGATCAAATCATGTGATAAGATCCAAAAGAAAAAAAAAAACCGGGTTTATTCGAGATTGACCTGTCTCACAATCGTAGAGTAAGCACTTAGCGCTCCGGAATAACGCCTGGGCACACCAGGTGGCAATTTCCCCTCTGCTTGAAGTCTTACTTTGACAAGATCGGTAGGATTGGCAATAGCAATCGCCACACCACCTAATATATAATGCGATTTTCAATAAAAATGTTTTGTTTTATTTAGATTTTTAGTTTTAATTTTTGAAAAGTGTGATAGGTTAGTTGTTAGTGGGATTTCGAGTTTTTATATTAAAATAATATTTAAAATAAAATAATTAAAGTTAATTTGATGTGAAAGATGGTCAGTTAAAATTATGTGAGTGAATGAACAGTGGATTAAAAAAAGTGATATTATTTAATGTTATTGATAGTATTGAGAATAATGAGATTGAGTTAAAATTGAGTTATATTTGAGTTAAAAAAAATAAATGATTTTATTTTTTTTTAAAAAAATTGTATCCGAGCACGCACTAACTTCTTAAATCACAAAATGAAAAAGAAGATGATTATAACTTCCATATCAAAGGCTCTCAATCTCACCAGTCGTAAGGGCAGCAAGTATTTTCTTCCACAACGGTACATCTCCAACATGATCTTTTCCCACATATAAGGTTTTAACCTGTCGAGTTACACAAACAGTAAGATATCTCCAAGACANGTTAAAAAAAAAAAAAAAAGAAAAATGTCAAAGAGAAAACGTACGGGTTCATATAATCCAATCCTCAAACCACCGTAGAGGCATTGACGGTGTAATCCAGGCACAATACCCTTCCAAAGGGCTGATAAGCCTTCTTCCCTGGCTATAGTTCCAACTGTTCCTAGCAATCCCCTATATTTCGGCAAACCCAAACCATCTCCATTCACAGCCTTCTTCTGCAATTGCAGCCGAACTTTGGCAGTATCCAATGGAATAGTACAGATCTACACGGAGATATAGACATTTATTGTAATTTTGGTTAATGGTTTAAATTTTATTTTATTTTTATGATTTTTTTTTAGTTGTACAATATAAAATTTTAATACTTAATTTTTAAATGTTATATTATTAACTAGACTATAAAAAATAAATAATCATATCTCAATATTTATTTCAAAAATAATATTGAATTTTTTTTATAGTCATTTTATTCTCAAACTTAGTTAATCATGAATTGTTAGTTACATGATATTTAATTGTAAAATTATTTATTTATTTTTTTACACATGAAATAGGTCAGACCGGGGTAAAACGCAAATTTAAAAATTCGGGTTAGTTGGCATTACTATACAAAGGTTTATTCGACAATAACCCATTGCAACAGTAGATCAAATAAGTCAACCAATCAACTTTTCAAACTAAATCAACCTTGAATAGGAGTACACCAATTCGAACGACACGACATGCCAAATCTTAAGAAAAAAACTATATACATAGAAAAATAAAATTAGAAAGAGGAGAACCAAAACTGCAAAACGAACGAGTAAACTACCTCAGCGAAGCAAGCAGCAAAAGCACTACTGGCAAAAGTTCCGGCGAAGGAGATGTCCGATTTGGCCCTACCGTGATCCGCCATGGAAGCTTAAGTACGAACCAAATTTGCTACGGAGAGAGGACAAAAAAATGATTTTGGGTTATTTATATAAGTGACATGGGAGCAATTTTATATTATTTTGCTGAAAATTTTCAAAAGTATACTTGATTTATTTAATCAAGTAGGGAGCGTGTAATTTTATATTAAAGTGGGACTATGAAAGATATGTAAATCTCGACTAACCATGAGTCAATTTATGATATCATTATAATAAAAACATATTTACTTAAAATATTGAATTTTTGTTTATATTTTTTTTAGAATTTTGATATCTCAATTTGGAATTATACATAATATATTAAATAAATATAAAAATCAATTAAAAAATAACAAAAACTATGCATTAAAAAAACTTTCTGTATATATATATATATATATATTTTAATTATTCGAAACACTGCCCCCCACCAAAATTATTTTTGTAGTTAGGGTGGGTATGAGGTGATTCATACTTCATATTCATAAAAGTATAATTATATTCCCTCATAAATTCCCAAATATGTAAAAACCAAATTTTTATGAATATGTAAATTAATTTTATCAAGAGCTGAAATGAGACACTTTAGATGTATGTATGCATGTCTTTCACTGTATCATGTGGAAACATTTGATGGGTCTTGTCTGATTAGAATTCCAGTTGATATAGTCAATTGATATATTTTGGATAACACTACAAAAAATTGTTATATTTCAACGGAAAATCCTATGGTAATATATTACAATGAAAAATTCCAACGGATATTCCAATGGCATATATAGCTTCCGTTGGAATGATTCCAACGAAAATATTCCGTTGGAATGTATTTTTCATTGAAATTTTAGATGGAATTGATGATTCCAACGGCTTTTGACCGTAGGAATTTCCATTGGAACTTTTATTTCCACCACCGTTGGAATCGTCAAAATTCAACAGAAATTTCAATGAAAAACTCATTCCAACGGAATATTTTTGTAGGAATTTCCGTTGGAATTAAATAATAACATTGAAATATCCATTAGAATTGCTGTTGGAATTCTATTGGAATATATTTCCGTTGGAATTTCATCATTTTCTTGTAGTGTAATACTCTGGTCCAGAAGAACGATCAAGTTAACTTGAATTGGTAAGCATATAGATCAATTTTAGGTCGTTTATCTAAATGGGTATTAGGGCTGAGCATGAGACTTGGAGAACTCTGAACTGTTTCGAAAACCGAACCGAAATCACTCCGAACCACAAAAAATAATTGATACGGTTCTGAAGATTTCACAAATATCCGTATCGAGAACCGAACCGAACCGTCTCATACCGTACCGTTTTGAACCGAAGAACCGAAATTAAGAATCGAATTATAATAATAGATGTGTGTTATTAATATATTTTATGTCAACCTTGATCCTATATAATTTGAAAATGTTTAATTAAATGCAAATAAAATATAGTAATAACAATTAAGATTCACATAAATTTCATGCTTATTAATACTTGATCTACAATTGAATTTCTCCTGTTTTAAAAAAAAGAATATTTAAAATGAAATGAAAAGTAAAAGATTTTTTTTGAAAAAAATATTTAAACTTTATTTAAATTTGTTGGTACTTAGTCTTATTCTATCTTATAACTAACATGGTATGGAAGGTTAAATAAATATTATTTTAATACAAAACTATATTATATTTTATTTGAGTTTAAATTTTCAATGTTAGTTGAATTTAATCTTAAAGATTACTTCTAAAATTGATTTAAAAATAAAATCTTTAGTATAATGAAATATTAATGAATGTTGGATTAAAAAGAAACATATAAAAAATAAAATATAACTAGGTGGTCATTAATAATAAGAAATCTCCGAATATTCGAATCGAACCAAACTGAACCGATCCGTTCCAATAGTTTCGAAAACTGAACCGAACCGGAAAATAAAAATCTCCGAACTGAACCGAACCAATTTTTTGGTACGATTCTGAAGATCGAAGTTTAGTGATCTCCGAACTTCGTTACGGTTCTGGAGATTTATCAATCTCCAAACCGTACTGATCCATACTCACCCCTAATGGGTATGTTTAAGTTAGAGCCTTTCAATTATTTGACCATTCGAACCAGATACATGTATGTTGTATTGGGTCGTACTGGACCTAAGACGGGTAAAGAATCTCAAACGAATAAGAAAAATAATTCCAGTTTAAAGAGTGGGTTGTCGGTTCATGAGCTCACGATTCATCAATTGCTAATGTTTAATAGTTTGATCGATGGTGTTTTTTTTTCAACTATGTCACCTTAATTTATTCTAGGAGACCAAGAGTTTGAAGTTTTAGGGTGTGTTTTTTTATAAATTAATCCGCTCAAAATAATTTTTTTTGTTAATCATAGTTAATGTTGAATTAAAAGTGTGGTATGATTAGTTGTTAGAGAGATTTTTAGTTTATATTAAAATAATATTTAAAATATAATAATTAAAGTTGATTCGATGTAAAAGTAAGAAAGAGATGATGTAAAGTGATGGTTATTTAAAATTATGTAATGTGTACTAATGATTGATTTATATTATTTAATTATATGAATAATATTAAAGATAGTGAGACTGACTTAAAGTTTAATTAAATTTTGAGTATTAAATGTGAATGAGATATTTTGTAAACGGTTACCCTAACCCACTATGACCATGCAAACCAATTCAAAATATTTGTCACTTGACCACACTATAATTCAATTGAGTTTGTTCCATTTGGATTGGAATTTTTGATAGGGTGCTCAGGTTAGACTCTACAAATATCTTATAAAGCTATCTAATTGGTTATATAGTGACATATCAATATAACATTGTAATGATTTTGTGATTGGAAAATAAAGAAATTAAGAAAGCAAAAAATCTAAGTCCAAATCACAGCAAACAAAAGCAAATAATTTATTTCTTGTGCGGGAAAGGTAAAATATTTACACTCATGATCAAAAGAAACTGCAAATTGTTGAAATTTTTCCAATTAGTTATTCAAAAAGCTTTAATTTAGAATCATTTTGCATCAATTATGGACTGATGCCAATTTTTGTTTGTCCATCAAAATCTGGTTTGCGGTTGAAGGGAAATGTTGATGACCGAAATAGCACCGTTTTATTTAGATAATAATGCAATAATGAGGGACCATTTGATTTAATATTATTTTCTTATAAATTGACAAGGATCGAGCCAATCGACATAGGCAATGAAATGTTTTCGTGGAAAAGCAAGGTGGAGAAAATTAAATAAAGAGTTAATTCGATCACTATTTAGTGATGTGACCTCATGATATTATCCAAACAATTTATACTATGACTTTCACCCAA